TTTGAAAGAATTAGATTACATTTTTATTTTCATACTTCTAATACTTGGACTAACTAGATTCACACTGCAATACAAGAACAATGGTGTTTCTTCATTTCCATGTCTTCTACATTGATCTTCAGCTGGTGAACACGTCAACTTTCTGCCTGGAACATGCAGCATTAGCAACTGTCTTTCTGCGTGATATCATGTATGTAGCCATCAAGAGCATGTTTGAGAATCCTTTAACAAAATCGTGTTAAGTTGCGACAGTTCACATTATTCTCACTTGTACGAATCTCACTGTCACATTACTGATGTTTTTACAGCTCAATTACATAAAGTAACAAATCCATTTAAAAGATGATGATGTAATTATATAAAAATACACCATTATAGTCTACAAAGTCATATGATTGACTTGGTTCATTATAGTTATTACAGCGCACTTCACACACAGTGAAATTTTTTAACATCTTAATTATAATGCCTTGTCTGAACAAACCATAATTTGACCCTGTTTAGCCCCAGTTAAATGCTCCTCTGCATGCTGAAAAGGTTGAGCTCTGAATCTCAGGATGTGGGAGTTCTTATAGACTTTCTCAAAGTGAAAAGTTTACCTATTATTACAGCATCTTTTGAGTTTGACGGGTTATAAGAAAAAACTTGTGCGTGTTCAAAAAGCATCAGTCAGGTTTTTGTTAATGAGTCCAGTGCAATAAGTACGGTGCAGCACTTTCTTAAGTTTCTTAACTACACACTTTGACATAACATATTTAAAGCGCAGTGTGTGGGAGTGAGTTGCTGTGAAATTGACTTTGTTATTAGTCCAACTGCGGGTAAATAAAAACTGGAATAAGGCAACATTTGAAAAAGTTCCCCTGGGGATAGAGCTGTCAGACTCACACAGGCTTATGTTTGACTCTTGGATGGTGCATCATTTGACACATTTCACAGAGAACATTTAGACAAGTCCTTAACCTTAGTTTCATTCGTTAGCTTGCCCGAAGCCTGGGCCACTGTGCATGGGGAATTATTTTGAATGAATTACAAATAAGGCAATTTGCAAAACTCGCACCATGAGATGACAAAGCCGAAGACCTTTTAGACTTATTTGTTATTCAAAAAGAGTGATTTAGTTTAAATACATTTTATTAGTGCATATGACAATTTCACAGAGAAAAAAAATGATACATTTTAGTCAAAGTATTATCTTCTTGAAGAAAGGTTTATAATTTGCTGTTATTGACACAATGTTTGATGAACTGAACTAAATGAAAAGGTGTTCTTTATTAGCAACTTGTTTTCCCAAAAATGAATTGTAAACATACATTAATAGAATAAATGTTGTACATGTAAATGGTAAGAAAGACTTGGATCATTAGTAGTGAATTTCTAAAAATTCTAACCGTGGAAGATATTAAATGCTCTCCTGATAATCTCATTCTTATACATACTGTAATACAATTAACACTCAAAGGAGTGCAGAGAAGCAAAGCATTTCTCTGAATGGTTCTCTTTCCATCAGTAGATGTGCCAGTTGGACACCGTTCCTTTGCCTCCAGACAATGTGGATGTGGGAGAGGGAAGAAAACAAACTGGAGAGTGTCAGACAATGAGCAGAAAACAGAAAGAAAGAAATGAGGGATGGCAGGATGAGAGATTTGTGACTGAAAGAGTGGACAAATCTGGAAGATGAACCTCCACTCCAAACACTGCAGCTATGCCCCCCCCCCATTGCACAGATTCTGTCCTGATTTCAAGTCCCTTTTACCAATTTATCCACTTCTCCCCTTGCAGAGTAAATTTACTGTCCCTTTGCGCCCCCTGTGTCTGATGACTCAGTAAGTGGTCTTGAAATTAATTTGAGCACCACAGCTTTCATGGCTCCTGCTCCTCTCTCTTTCCTGCTGGTTTCTCCCGCCGCTTTGGAGGGTTAAATGGTTTGAGAGATTGCTGGCAGTGGCAGTAAAGCATGCTGACAATGGGAGGATGAAACTGTGGGCTCACAGAATGGGGGGTGGGGGGATGGAGGGGGGCTGCTAATGTTGCTTTGATGCAGGCATCTGACAAAAAGCAGCTCAGATATGGGTCTAACCTCCCGACATGATCAAATCCGGGAGAAATAAAGCAGTCACATGTCACATGTATGAAACGGCTTTACCTACTGGAAATACATCTGGCAGTACTTTTGTATTCATGATAAGATAATACATACATAATGCATAATGGATTGTAATATCATTTTAAGTAGGATTTACAGTGTATGGATAGATATGATCTTTTTTGGAAAGTCATCAAACTTTGGACACAAATTTAAATATTGGGGATAGAATAGCATCTTGATTTGTTCTACAAACACAATCAAAAACTCACCCATACATAAAGGTATATAAAAACATACATACATATACATATCCTGGATGAGAGCAAAATCTTTTAGCAGGGAAATCAGGTTTTTTTCTGTCAGAATGAAAGAGACTGATACGTTGATTAAGCCTTGTCTCTTAATGCGATGTTTGTCATTGTTTAGACTGAGCCTACACTGATGTGTAATGTGCAAGGAAACTGGCCAAACATTCTCAAAGGCTCACAGTTGGTGCACAGCCTTGGTCAACATCAACAAATTTCACTTGGCTTCTACATGTACCCCACTAGGCCTTGATTGATGTATTTGAGCCCATATAATACATGCATTGCAAACAAAGAAAGCACAAAATGTGCCAGGCAGGAAGCGGAATGGGGCTGTTGTGTTGATTTTATAATCCTAAACAAATGTTACTGGAGATCAAAATTCTCATTTGTTGAATTTTATGCTGCAGTAAATTTGTGATGATACATAAAAAGTTAGGAGCTTTTGTTTTGTTTTTCACATGAGCTGCAGTACAAAGGCATCAGATTAAGATGTAGTGGAACAAGCCAAACTACTTGGAGACGATTCTACACATGTCTTTACAATACTAATGGATCTTCCCAGCACTGCAGAGGCTTCTGTGGTATTATGAGTGTTTATGAGAATGTCTCACTCTGAAGCATCTGGATGTACAGGGAGAACATGTAAACACCACACAAGAAGGGCTGGGGTCAAACCAGGGGCTAGTTACACGCAGTCTATATTGTGCCACTGCAGTAATACTATTGTTGCTACTATTTTTGACTACTAATATAGTACAATGATTAGCTAAACTGACATTATGTCCTTTATTATTGCAACTTCTGCTGTAAAAAGTAACAATAATTGCCATCAAAACAATAAACTTTATAAACTGTATATAGCTTTAAAAAAAAACTAATGTAGCCTAACAGATATATATGTCAAGTCAAGTGTATTTGTAAAACCCAGTGTCACATACAGTTTGTCAATGGCCCTATAAATTTCTTTTGTACTTCAAGGAGCACATGAGTGTAGGTCCATCAGCATCAAAGAGAGTTAGTTAACGTAAGGTTAAAATGTGTGCCTCTATATATTTTCAAAATATGATAAAAGTATAGTGAAAACGTCCCCAAATTATACAAGAATATAATTTTAGTACATTTATAGACCTTTAGTTTGCTAACGATTAATCATCAATTTTTCTCTTGAAACGTTAATCACACGTTTCTGTTTGTGACTGTGTGAGTCAGTAGCACTCCCACTGAACGATATTGTTTCATGAGCCTCTTTTACAACAATCAGATAAAAGTACACTCAATATACTAGGTACTAACATATTGTTTTTCAAATATTCTGTATGAATCTTTAACTGCATTAGTCGGGAAACGGAATGAAAAAGTGAGAAAGTGTTTCTTCCTCTGACTCTGTATCGTAACGAATCACTCCATTATTTCCAAATGAAGGACTGTTCAGACTGTGGATACTGTGGAATATATTACACATGAGACTATATCTGGTATCTCACTGTTGTAAGACATCTGCAAAATGATGACCAGTATAGGCTGGAATAGAAAAGTATTTATTAGATACTTGACCTTTATCATGAGAGAGGGAGCTCAAAGAGAATTAAAGAAGAAAAGGGTGCTCTGTTAAACATCAGCTGTCCTTAAAATGCAAATAGTGCAAATACAGTGTTTGTCCCTGAAATCAAAATGTTGCTCCTCTTAAGGTTTTAAAAACGTTGAAGATAATTTCACTGATTTTGAATCAACACTGAGGGATCTTTCACAACATAGTCCAGTGGGAGGGCTACTGACTTACACAGTCACTTATGGAAACACATGATTGTGAAAAAGACTTTTCACAATCATGTGATATTAATAGTATCTCTTTGCGTGATTTCTCTGGAAAAATGATTTGATTAAAGGAGTGAAAGCAACAAAACAAAAAAATCCATGGAGCCAGGAAACATATCACTCTGTGCCGCTTATATTACTGATATCATCTATTTGCATTTGCAGTTTTGAGTGCTGTTGCTGTTGCTGTGGATAAAATTCGACATTGTCTAAAACACCTTTCCTAGACTAACAGCCTCCGACATTTCAGTTTATCAACCATGAGAGCAACACGGAGGAAAAAAACAGAATACATTAAGGTCTGATCACGTTCTGAAGCACTCCATCCTCAGTTAATGAGCTGGTGGGTTTTTTTGAATCTTTGAGGTATTTGGGTTAAGTTTGCAAAATTTAGTCTCAATCTGTTCCTTCAACCACAGCTCACCATGTTGTTGTGCATGTTTAGAACCCCGGTGATGGTGAATATGTGAATGTTCAGATATTTGTGCACCTGTGCATATGTAGAGGCCAGGATGGGGTGAAAAACTGTTGAAACTGGAAACATCAGATGTTTTTTTCCCCAATGATTCATCACCGCACAGTGAGTTTGAGACAGTCAGCAGTTGTGTGTATTTGCAATGTCATCCTCTATGAGGATGAGTGATATAGTTATTGTAGTTAACGGAAAGTGAGTCCCTCATGACTCAACAGAAGAAGTAATCTGATTGGCTCTTTGCTGAGGGTGTGCAATAAAAGGGATGTGACAAAGGCAGCAGAACAGATTAAAAGGCAGTTGGCAATTGATATTTGGATATCACACAACGATTTTCTTCTCATTACCAGAGTATTGCAGTAGAGTACAGGGCAGAACATATGGAGACTATCAACAGAGAAACACTTCAGGCAGACTTTGATGCATTTGATATTTCGGAGGAGTTTGGATTTCTCCTTGAGGAGCCACTGGTAAGTTTCATTGTCACTTTTTCTTTTCTCATAACAATAGACATTTTCTGTCTGTATAGTCTTTGCCGAATGTCATTGGTTTCATTGGACAAAAATTGAAAATTGGACCTGATGTCTTTAAATGTCTTTTTCTGGAACCGCAAAGCAGAACACAACAGGTGGAGTGAACAATGTTGGTGGATGGTCAGGGAAACAAGAGAGCTCAGATTAGCAGGTTCATCCCTTGAGTCTAAGTCATCCTTAAAGTTCTCATTCAAACCTTTCAGAAACACTCCCAGCAGAGCTCCCTCATCCCAATTGGTGTTTACTGCCTGCGTCCAGAAATCTACCAAATAATCTGTCACTTTCCTGCTGCCCTGTGGGACACTCAATAAACGATTAGCAGCATTTCCAGAATGACTATAGGGTAATCAAAAACTGATTTCATCTTAGACAAAAGTCCCTCAAATGATACTATTGTTAATGGTCAGTGGGAATTTCACTGCCAATGCCAAAGCCCTCCCTCTTACTAAACCCCATAAATATTTTACCTTTGAGTGAGTGGACGTTGCTGGAACACTATATTACATTGCAATAGGAACACACGAGGGTGGGGAAAAAAAACAGGAGAAAAGGTCAAGCGAGGCCTAATCCTAACAGGAGTGGAGTATACAGGTTTTAACTGGGAGACATGGAAAGTAGTTTGTTGTTTTATAAGATTTATAGCAAAAGAATCAAACATTGGCATCAGACAGCCTACTTCTCTATTTATACAGTGATTTCCCATTGGGACATCCCTACTTGGATAATTTTCTCAGTTTTCTACTGCTTCCTCTTTTAAATTGCTTTCTCTCACTAGCACCAGTCATTTCCTGACATGCAGGTCAGGCACCATATCAAACACGAGCTGATGATGTTACTGATTACATTCTACATGAAAATAAAAAAACAAAAAAAACAATCAAAACTCAATGAGTACGTCATTTTATTCCTATTATCGTCTAGACTAACCTTCCAGACTATTATCGGGTGTGGATGGACCTGGCAAATAATCTCACACATCTGATCAAGTCACGTAAACTACGGGATCTGGTTCATGAGGTGAGTATGAGCAATGACTTCATAATGCAAATGCTAAGTAAAACAAAAAAAGTGAAAGCCTTGATGGTGTGTGCTGCTCTCGAAAATGGAACTAAAAAGAATGGAAACTTGTATCAAATCTGTCACAATCCAGATGCCGGTCTTGATTCCCAATCTCCTGAACGATCACAGGGAGCTCAGCCTGGCTCACCTAGCGCTGGGGTTCATCAGCATGGGATATGTATGGCAGGAAGGACAACATGCACCTGCTCAGGTAAAATGCTTCAGAGCAATGGAATGAAGTGGGATTAAAAATGAGTCCACACCTGATGATGTTGCTTGATGAAGAGTCCTGAGGGGGGACATGAATGTTTGAACCAACAGCCATTACTATCCCTAGAGTCATGCCACTAGCATGCAAAAAACCTTTGGATTGAAATTTTACTATTTTGGTTGTTTTACAGGTTCTCCCAAAAGCCCTGGCCGTGCCCTACTGGCTGATATCTCGCAGACTAGGACTGCCACCCATCCTCACTTACGCAGATTCAGTTTTATCCAACTGGAAATTAAGAGATCCCACAGGGTGAGTAATGGTCTCTTGTTGCCTTATTTAATGTCTTGATTTCATATCTGTAGTCCACGCATCCTCCCTTATTATAACAGCAGAGGTGGACAAAGTACACAGCTCTATTACTTGAGTCAAAGTAAAGATACTCTAAATATTACTAAATATTACTCAGATACAAGTGAAAGTTGATTTTTTTTTTTTACAGTACTGCAGTACTTGCTTTTAAAAATACTTAAGTATTCAAAAGTGATTTTTTTTTTTTTTTTTATGTCTATGCATTATTGTATTGTTCCACGGTGTATTTACGAACCTGATGACTCTGAAACAACCTACTGAATGAAGTGATTTACTTGTAGAACAAGTAGGATAAAAAGTTTGTAGGATATGCTACAAAGCCTATTAGCTATAAAAACACAATTGAATCAACAATCAATAAATTGCAGTGTTTTCTGCCTCCACTGATAACACTTCCAACTTTTTTTTTCATTTTCATTTTAGGAATATGGAAATTGGGTGAGTAGACAGAGAAGAAAAGTGTCTTTCTCTGGTTTGAATTTCTCCATTGCACTTTCAGAAGGTTTTCAATGTCTGATACTTCGCTCATATGTTTTCAAAACATCATTTTCAAAAATAGGAACATGGACTTGATATTTTCCTTCCCCGGTGGTGAGAGTTGCAGGGGATTTTTCATCGTGTCATTGTTGGTTGAGTTGGCTGCCAGTTCAGGCATAGTGGTAAGTACTGGCTGCTGTTATTCTTCCTCTTTCTTGTTAACTGCACGATGATGTCAGTTTATTTCCCGTCTTTGATTCATATTTCCCAACCATATACTGTGTGTGTCTCTGTCCCTTGTCACTTATTGGTGGATTTCAAACTTTCAACTCTAACCAGGGGGCCCTGGAGGTGATGCACGCTATGAAAAGCTCTGACGTTGCCGGCATACAGAATGGTCTCGTCAAAGTAACTCAGTCTTTGAAGAAGATGAAGGAAACTTTCAAACTCATGCACAGTAAGTTTAAATTAAACCTATCCCCGTCTGAATTTAATCAATTTACATGCTGTGCCTTTTATGAAGGCAGGGAAATTAGAATAACAGAATTTGTGCTCTTTCCAGATCATGTGGATCCAACTGCGTTTCATGGAACATTGAGAATTTTTGTCTCAGGGTGAGTTTTAGTCCTCTCACAATGTCCTGCATACTGAAGTTATTAATGCTTTTAATATTTATCTCATCTGGTGCAGATTTATCTCACTAGGCATCATAACTCCCTTCTGCCTCTACCCCTCTATTGTACTTTTTGCTCTTTCTACACGGTTCAACGGGCTTGCATGAAAACGGTTGCATGTGTATCTATAAAAAAGAAGGTTCATGCTACATGTATGTGGTTTAAACTGTTTCAGGTGGCGAGACAACCCCATGCTTCCAAATGGGCTGCTGTACGAGGGTGTGAGCACTGAGCCGATGTTCTTATCAGGTGGAAGCGCAGCCCAGAGTTCAGCCATTCAATGCTTTGATGCATTGCTGTGTATCCAGCATGAGGATGAGACAGGTAAAGATGCATTTCCTTCAACCTCTGACCCGCTCAGATGCTTCTCATGAATTAATCACTCGGGTTGTGCAGTCAGTTGATTGCTCAGACAGAAAATGTTTCCAGGAAAGGCTGTTATTTACTCTTTTTTTTTAAAGGTCTTCTTTCTGTTCTCTTCATTGATCTAAGGAGCCTTCCTGACACGCATGAGAGATTACATGCCTCCTGCCCACTGTCAGCTGATAGAAACTCTCTCTGCCCGTCCATCTCTACGAGACTTGATCCTCTCCTGCTCCAGCTCTGATCTCTGCCAGGCCTACAACTCTTGTGTCTCAGCGATGGTGGATTTGCGGAGCTACCACCTTTATGCTGTGCAAAAGTACATCATCGGACCTGGAAACCATACCATGGGCTGCCCGCTCAGAGGTGTGGGCACTATGCTGAACGACAAGGGGACCGGTGGATCCAACCTGATGGGCTTCCTCAAGGGTGTTTGTAATACCACAAAAAAAGCACTGATCTCAGAGCGTCCATCTGTGCCAAGAGAAAATGTAATGTCATTTAACATATAATTCATGATACGTACAATAGCCAAAACCTACTACACTACACTCTTGAGGTTATGACAGTTTTATATGGAAAAAAATAAGCATAATCAAAATAATTGAAATAATAATTATAATAATCACAAGAATTCAAGTACCTTGCCGTATTGTACTGCTTGGGAAATGTTTAGGGTGCTTTTAGTAACCACAACCCTTTAAGGATTGAAGAGCAACTTAACAGCAGCTGGAAATGTTGTTTCTGCTGCGTGGTTTAACTTCTCATTTTGCTGCAGTGATGTGCAAGTGTAAATCATGTGACATCACAGTGGGTTGGGATCCCAAACTTTGAACAAGTGAGGGAACTAACTTTTTAGCCTGGGTTTAACTTAGGACTCTTGGCATGATAGTTATAGTTATGCATGATGGAAATAAAAAGACTGATGGTAATCCAAAATTATGAGATACTACATACTATCTCAAAAAGTCAAACCTTTTATGCTTTTCTTTTCTTTTCTTGGCGGGATTAAGCTTTCATATCACACAGCCCTTGATGTAATCAAATAAACGGCACTTTACTTTAACATAATGCTTTAGACAATCACATTATATGATTGTAAAAACTTCTACAGACCATGCTGCATAGAAGGATTATGTTTAGTATTGTATTGTATTGACACTGATTTTATTTTTATGCATAAAATAATGTATAATCTTCAAAATCCAAATGTGTCTGTACACCTTTGAATCTTAATAGGATTTTACATAAATGATGTTAATTGCATTTAGAAAATATTTTAATTGGTATTTATTTAAACATTCAGCAGTTAATATAACAATAATGATAATGTTGATAATGTTGCTTTTGACCTGTTTTAAAACTATTGGTTAAATTGGGAAGGTGTAGATAAGAAAAAGCTTAGCTGGAAAGAGCTGTGGAGTATGGAGGAAAGTAGCATTAGATTCTTGATAGGGGCAACATATGATGTATTGCCAACTCCCCAGAACCTAAAACTCTGGGTAAATGGAGACCCGCTATGTGCATTGTGTTCAGGTACGGCAACTCTAAAGCACATTTTGTCAGGCTGTAAGGTTAGTCTGTCGCAAGGTCGGTACACGTGGCGACATAACCAGGTTTTAAAAAGCTTAGCTGCAGGAATAGAAGACCTACGGAGGCAGGCAAATTTAGGAGGGTCTAAAACAAAGAGAGTTGCAATAAAGTTTGTTCAAGAGGGAGAGAAAGTTGGTAAGACAGCAAGGAGGCAAGGCAGCTTAGAGGATGCCTGTGATTGGGAAATGCAGGTAGATTTAGGAGGAAAGCTTGTTGTTCCCCAGGAAATAGCCAGTACAAAGTTAAGGCCTGACATAGTCTTGTGGTCTAGGAGTAGAATGAAAGTATATTTCATAGAGTTGACTGTTCCATGGGAGGCTTCAGTTGAAGAAGCATATGAAAGGAAAAAGCTCAGGTATGCAGAGTTAGGGGCAGAAGCAGAGCAGCGAGGATGGAAAGTTAGGATTTGTCCAGTAGAAGTAGGATGTAGAGGATTTATAGCAAGGTCTGTTGTCTCTTTGGTAAGGGAGCTAGGAGCAAGTGGACAGAGTGTGAGGGAAATAGTAAAAGACATGTCAGATGAGGCAGCAAGATCCAGTCAGTGGATTTGGATTAGAAGAAGTAATGGTAGCTGGGGGCCCAGCAGGGGGAGCACTTAGGATAGACAGACTCTTAGGAGAAGCAAGGAAGAAAATCCAGGAAGAGGAAGTGTTTTTAAGTGGAGGGTGTGGCCTGTGTGAGCCTCTTTGAGACCATGCGGTTAGTTCAGGTGAGTTGGTTTGTTTGTATTGCTCTGAATTGGTCTGTAGTGTGTCTCTGACTGTCTAGACGAGTTTGTTTGTTTTAGGTGAGTTGTTGGAGAGTGGGGGAGTAGGGGGAGGTAGAGCACAGCCTAACCCGGTGGGGGAGAGCTAGCCCAAACAGGCACCTCTCCCTGACTCTACCTCCCTCATTCAAAATGGCCGCCATTTTCTCCAACTGGTTAGGGGAGTTTGTTTGCTGAATCTGCTGGTGTGTTTTGTCCTAGTTGATAATGTTGTGTGTGGTAGCATAGGCAAGGTAAAAGAAAATAGTTGTGGTGTGAGGAGCAGTGATGGCTGGCATTAGGGGAGTGACTCTGGGACGCCAGTGATCACTGTCTAGCCTCCTGGAGGTGTCGTGGGACCAACTAGACGAAACACTGGTGAAAGGAGGTTCCCACCTGATGACCCCAAAGACATGTCAGTTATCACTGCTCATTAGTCTGTGTAGCTGAATTAATAGTTATCATAGGGCTTAGGGAGTTATTCACCGAGTCTGGTCCAGTTTTTACAGCACAAGTTTCTTGTGTTTATCCTAAATAAATTTATAAAATGGAAAAATGTAATAAAATGTAAAAATGTAATATATACATAACACAAATAATGCCAAAAAATGTAAGGAATATATCTTTCTAAACTGATGTGACTTTGATCAATAAACTCATTTTAGAAATTTGATTGAAAATGAAAACTCTTATGGAGACTGTTTTTGAGAGTAAGACGATGACATCAGAGGAGGGAGATGAATGTAGAGAGAGAACTGTGAGCTGTGGAAAAAATGCTGTAGGAATCAAATGATAGAGGACTGGTAAAATAAAAGCAAAAGAGACTCAGCTGAGGAGAATGAAAGCGACAGACACAGTGGGCGCAACCAGGGGAGAGGGATGGATGTGGCATCAGGTCACACAGTTTGATCGACTGCAACCCTCAATCCCCTCCCGGTCTCGACTGGAAGGTTGTATCTCTTCTTGCTATTGGGGTCTAATCACATTAAAAGAGAGAAGCAAGAGCTCAACCACACTGCTGCTTAGCCCTCGTTATGGTCCACGAAAGCACAAAAGATGCAAAATATGGACTGTTTGACACTGTGTGAAGGCAGCTGTGGCTGTAACTACACCCAGCACTGGTGTAGTTATCTGCTGTCACATTGCCTCTGGCACTCAGTAGACATAGGAGAACACAGAATCACCTTCAGTTGAAAATGTTTTAATTGTGATGTAGAAACAGTAGAAAAATGCATAATATTGCACATAATCACTAAATTGCACTTCCTCAAGGTACAGATCTTTGCATGGAAATTGGTGACCTGAATAATGTAATCTACGGCGTAATCTAACAATGAGAAGCCAGTATGTGTCTTCCTGACATATAACAGTACCATAATCTACATAAAATGAGAGCTGCTGTTACAAAATGACTTTAAGAATTCAATAAATACTTGCTTTGTAACAGCGTGCAAGTTCAGTGTCATTGCTACATCATTAGTGTTTTGTTTGTTTTATTTTTTTTTTTGTACTTAACCAAAGCTGGTGGCTACAAGTCTTCTCTGCTATAAGATTGCTACCATACTCCTTTAGCACTGTGTATAGCCCTTCTACTCTTGCAAATTCAGTGCACTGTTGTTTGTGTGGGTTGGTAGACAGGTGTTCTGTAATTGTTTTCTGCTGGGAAAAAAAAAGAAAAGAGTCATTCAATTTTATAAGACGGAACTTGCAGTTGAATGGAAAGATAAATCAATATTACAAAACAACACTTTAAGTAGCCGCTAACTGGACATGAAACAAATTATTTTAAAATAAAACAGGATCTAGACTTCACATCAGAGCTTTGTTGTGACACAGTAAGTGAGACAAGGCAAACTCTTAATGCACTCAAAGAGAAATGTTAAAATAGCCTTTACTTTTTGTTGGGAATTAAAAAAAAGAAAACAAAAAATAAACAAAACAAACAAAGAAAAAGCAAGAAAAACAAAAACAAAGAAGAACACTGTTTACGTTATCATAGAAAATACTCTATAGTAGTCAAAACTTTATATATGTTGTTAAAAAATCCGACCTAACCTAGAACACTTGTTCTGCATTTTCAACAATTGTACCTTCTTCAAGAGGAGGGGCCCAAACATATATGTTTTAAAATTTCATCTGGGTCTTTGCTAAAAAGGATAGATATTCTAAAATATAGACTCTGAACATTATGTGTCAGTGTAGCCAACAGAAAAGGACAAGACAGTTTAGCACAGTGAGCTAAAATTGAGAGAAAGAAAGGACAGAGAGAGATAAAGGGACAGAGTTACAAAGAGAGGGAGGAGACAGGGGTTACTAACAAAGGCAGGCAGACGTTCACTCAGACAGACAAACTGAGCAGGTTGTTAACAGATAAGGAGGAAGAGGAGAGAATAGACAGGGTTATAAGAACAGCAGTGACACACTGCCATGTACTGTACTGTGTTTCAGTCTTTTACGCATTTTCTTCTCAATAGTCAAATGTTTGTGCTTTGCCGGAGGTGGGGCTGATGTCCATTCAAAGATTATAGCTTCACTCATAAAAGGCCCTCCACATGGCGCCTCCTCTTGTTGCCAAGCAATATGCTCTAAGGGGAGAAAGACCAAAAGTGCATTGCATTGGAGGACACAATGAAAAGACGTAAACATAAAGTGAGAAGTGCATTTACCCAGTATATAAATAACATTAACCTTTAAACAGTAACAAGGTCAAAACCCAGGATATAGCTGGACCGCATATGGTCAATGCGCGAAATTGAGGACGTAGCTGAAAACTGTCGTGGAACTCATGTAAGTAACTACCTTCAATGGAAAGTAGCTAAAGCCTGCTGGAAAAGACGCTAAATGTAGCTAGATGACGTAATACACTAATTAGCATGATTTCATTTCAGCGTATTTGCATTCTGCCTAGTGTCAGCCCTTCATCTGTTTGCTTCTCTCCTACTCTCTGTGCTCACATGTACAGTATTCTAATATAATAAAGCTGTTCTCAGCTTCTCTTACATGTCTTTCTGTTTCCGTTGTCAGAAGACGGAAAGTTTGAAATAGTAACTGAACATGGCCCATTAAGACCACATGACAAAAAGCAGCCACTTGCAAGCTGCTGCTCTGCTGATAAAATCCTGATTTTATAACTGCAACGTCGTCTAACAAAATCACCAAACACATAAGTTAAAGACAACGGCTGTGCTGTGATTTCGACCATATTTACTTTTAAAATAATGACTCAGAGAGGAAGTTAGAAGCGACAGAATATCTTTCTTATTTTGTCTCTCACAGCGCACAGCCTCTGTCTGGGTTACAATCTGCTGCTCACCTTCTCTGCCACTCACTGAACAGAGCAGACACAGAGGCAGGTTTGCCTCTTGCTTGCAGGGCAGTAATGGCGACTCTCTTCTATGGAAAGTAGCTAAGGTTTGTCCAAAAAGTCACTAGATTTGTTGCTAGGTGAAAAAAGTCATTAAAGGGGTCTGATGATGAAAACTGACGTGAATCCGCTATAAACGCCCTCTGATGACATAATAGAAAATGTTCTCGCCACACCAAAAGCAACATCCAACACCCAGTGGTGTCACTCACTCACTCACTCACTCACTCACTCACATTCAGGGTTGTGGTCCTGGACCTTGATGGGTCCAGCCAGAAAGAATACATGTACAAAATGTATCCCAAAGCTCACCTAGTTTTTGCAGGTGCGTGTCGACCTCTCCAGCACACATGCCAGAAAAAGGTTTGACAGAATTTAAAATGTTTTTTGTCTCTGCTGTCCCCCAGCTGACTTGACGTGCAGTCTCAACTCAAATGAACTTGTTTCTGTCGTTATCCATTGCCATGGGATGATTACTCCCTCTGAATATTCCTTCATCCATTTTGAGAAGAACGAGGGTATTAATGTGCCCAATAAAAAGGCAGTTTCCAAAGCCTTCATGTTTTATTCAAAGGAACCAGAGTTTCCAACGAGCATGCTTTTTGGACTCTGTCTTGGATTTGCGTTTCGGGGTGGATGTGAACACTTCGTTGGAGTAAGGCAGAGCAGGGCATTGTTGACTGTCCAGGGGGCAAAGTCTCTTCATCAGGGGCAGTAGCTTGTCC